TTATATGTGTATTTCTCTAAGGATGGCTTTTATGAAAATATTGCTGCAGTGGGGAGGGGAGGACAGTTAGTCTAAGTAGGTGTTCCTACTCTCTATCAAATATTCATTCCCAGAACCACCTTTTGACCCAGCTCTCCCACTCCTCAGTCTATACCCAAAGGACTTAAAAACAGCATACTACAGGGACACAGCCATATCAATGTTTATAGCAGCACAATTCACAATAGCTAAATTATGGAACCAACTAGATGCCCTTCAGTAGATGAATAGATAGGGAAACTTTGGTATACATACACAATGGAACATTATTAAGAATTAAAAGAGAATAAAGTCATGGGATTTGCAGGTTAATGGATGAAGTTGGAGAATATAAATGCTAAGTGAAGCAAGCCAATCCCAAAAAACGAAAGGCTGAATGTTTTCTTTGATATGAGGATGCTGATTCATAATGGTAATGGGGAGGAGCATGGGAGGAATGGAGGAACTTTAGATGGGGCAAAGGGGTAGGAATGATGGTGGAATGAGTTAGACATCATTACCCTAAGTACATGTATGTAAGACACGAATAGTGTGAAAATACTTCGTGTACAACCAGGTATGAAAAATTGTTCTCTATATGTGTAATATGAAATGAACTGCATTCTGCCATCATGTATAACAAATTAGAATAAATAATTTAATAAAAATACAATATTTAATGGAAAGCCAAAAAATATTCATTCCCTGAACAAGAAGTTCAACCACCAACAGAAAATCAATAATTTTCTATTCTGTTATTGACTTGTCTATTGCCAAGTAATTCTGTCCTATGAAAATTGCTGTTGTGTAATTGTTATTGTTTAAATGTTTTTTAGTTGTCAATAGACCTTTTAAAATTTTATTTATATGTATGCAGTGCTGAGAATCAAACCCTCCCACACTCTAGGCAAGCACTCTACCACTGAGCTACAACCTCAGCCCTATTGTTATTTTTATGAATTGTTTTTTTTTATTAGTTGGGGGCCTTTTGGAACATTACCATTGATTTAGATCAGTAGACATGGTCAGATATTTACATCTCCCTATAAGTTGTCCTTTGATAGATTTTGGAAAGATGAAGTGAAATTTATAGTAGAGCTTGAAGATTGATCTTGGAAAATTGCTCTGTGCAAATGCAAACTGAATGAATTGTGTTTCATACTGAAAGAACTGGGGAAGAGAGAAGAAAGTAGAAGACTAATATATTTTGCTTAGTGGAAATTCTTAAGCAAGTTATAGTCAAGCTCTGTACCTGTAACACATAGTGACAAAGCTGTTAGACTCTTAAAACAAATTATACCCAGTCCTATAATTTTTTTCTGACTAATGTAATTTTCCAAAGAATGCCAATGTTTAACACATTCGTGATTTTTTTTCAACTCAATAACAATGAAAGGTAACAATTCTTTTTAACATCTGTCATAAGTAGTAGCTAGAGCAACATCTTTGAAGCTTTTCTCCCCACGCCCCTTCCTTTTTGGGAAAAAGTGAGTAATATATATATATTTAGTTGTAGTTGGACACAATACCTTTATTTTATTTATTTGTTTTTTATGTGGTGCTGAGGATCAAACCCAGTACCTCACACATTCTAGGCAAGTGCTCTACCGCTGAGCCACAACCCCAGCCCCAAAAGTGAGTGTTTTCTTTAGGATATCCTCAATGTTTTCATTTATCCTTCTCACCAGTGATATTACGCATGAGATATTGACCAACACTCTATATCATTGATCTTTATGTCTTTATAATTTTAAAAATTCCTCTCCACCCAGGAAATTATCATTATTTCCCTTAAGGGTCAACTCATAGTTTCCCATACCTTTTAGCAATTAAATTACTGAGCCACAATATGTAATTATATAAGAATTTGATTATTATATATCTCCATTTACCACCACCATCATTGTAAGTTCCTTGAGGTCAGGATTCTTGTCTGTTTAATATCCCATACCCTAATATTTTGGCACTAAGTAAATAATTTTGTATTTCTTTATATATTTATTTATGAGTCTCAAAATAACTTCAAATATAATATTCTTCTTGAATTGTTCCTAATCTTTTTATCCACCACTCCTACCTCACACCCCACTGAGATATGAGTTTTCACAGTACATGTCAGTGGAAATAGGAAAGTAATTTGGGTAATCAACCATATATCCAGGTATTCTGGGACATCCCCAGTTTATGCCAATTTTCCTGGCATAAATATTTGTAAACACTCCCTTTATTCTCAAAAGTATCTCAGCTTTACCTGTAATTCAGATTTTCACCCTCTATAGAAGCTGTTTCAGTACTTCATAGGGCCACATCTAGCCAATCTTTTTTTTTTTTTTTTTTTTACCATTTTTTTAGTTCTTTGAGGACAGACTCAGTTCTGATTTCTCTTCCTAACCCTGGGGCTTGCCAAAGCGTCTGTCACTCAGTGACAATTCTTTTGAATGAAAAGACATTCTTGCTATCTTGTCCCAAGAAGTTTGCATATAAAACACATACGTGCATGCACACACACACGACACCTATTTGTTTTCAGAAAGATAACCAATATTTTTCTAATAATCTTCTTGCTTACAACTTTAAATTGTAAACACAAGTTTATTTCTGCTAAGTTGTGTATTTCTTTTCTATTTTATTAAGTGGCAAACTTTTGCAATTATAAATAGTGATTTTAATAAGGGTTCTCTATCTTTGTGGGATTTTCCATAAATTTAAATCTCTTATTGTATGTCTTCATAAACATTAGGAAAGTTTTCACACCAATATCAGTGTGTGTTTTGTTTTGCTTCTGGGCACTGGGAATCCAACCCAGGACTTTACTCATGCTAGGCAATCATTCTATCACTGAGCTGCATTCCCATCCCATCAATGCCAAGGTAAATAGAGCTAAGTACTGGATAGTAGATAAGGAGAAAAGTATTCAATGTCCCACTAGCTAAGAGAGATGGAATTTTTCTTTTAAAAGTACCTTTCATTTGCCAAAAGTGTACATAGAATCCTATAAATAGTTGCTTTCAGTGACTTTGCAGCTTTGAGTAAATTTAAGAGGAAAATCTCTGTCCTTTGTACACTAGAAATGATTATTTTGGGGGGTGTACCAGGACTTGAACTCAGCAGCATTCGACCACTAAGCCACATCCTCAGCCCTATTATGTATTTTATTTAGAAACAGGGTCTCACTGAGTTGCTTAGTACCTCGATTTTGCTGAGGCTG